TTTACCTGATTCATTTTTTGGTAGTCCTATAGAAAGATGCATAAATGTAAACATAAGTTTGTAGTCATTCATCTTAAACTTTGTAAGAAGTTATTTTGTATACTTCTACTTATGAACGAATATGCCTCTATTTGTTTGCTTTATTTGTAGTCTTAGAAATAACTTAAGTTCACCCATCATTCTCATTTCAAACTCCATTTGTATAAGCTTAGAAAAATTATCACCCAGAGATTCATTATTATAAAATGTGTCAGACTTTTTCTAAAAGGCAAGGCCGTATATAGGAATTTTGGGGCCTTAGGAAAAAATTAAGACAAGAGTCTATGTTAATATAGCCTAATAATTTTTATGTTATTTTTTGACTTTTTGAGTTGCAAAATTATTTATTAAAGTTTTATAATAAAGTAATTCTAACATCTCACTCTCAATAGATAATATAGCTAACCCATTCAATCTATCTTGTAACATAGTTGATCTTAAATATGATTTAATCAATTTTAATTTTGAAAAATTTCTTTTAGCAGTAGCAACAGTTACCGATAATGTTAATAATATTCTATAAGCAATGCATGTATTTGAAAAAGAACATGATCTTTTTATATAGTTCAATATTTTTAATGGTGTGTTAATTTCATTTGTTAGAATTTCTTTCAATAAATTTAATTCTGAAAATTAATCAAGACTATCAATATCAGAATGGTCCTTAAAACTCAAAATCTTTTCAAGATTGATACAATATTTTTTTCAATTCATCTTCCCCTAAAGTTTTAAATTTATTTGAATCAAATAAAAAACCAAACATGTTTTCATATTATAAAAATTGTTCAAATCGACTCATAATAGAAGAAATAGATTGATTTAATATATACAAAAAAATAATTAGTGCAAAAAGAATTTTCAGCAGAATGAGCTATCTCATCACTATCAATGTCATCAAAATGTTTTTTCCTATGAATCTTACGTTTTTCATTGAACTTAGGCTCTATATCCATTCCAATAGTCATTTCTTTGGTGGATTCTAATGCAGATGCAAAAACATTTTCCCTATAATTTTTTAAATAAGTTATAAGGCCTCTTAAGTGATCTATAGCAACATCTATATGCATATCTTTAAATTGCATGATCTTACTTACAGAACTAACCGCAAAAAGTATATCATACCAAATATTCATCCCCAATAAAAATTCAAAATTCTCCATCTCATAAGTTGCTAAACACATGGCTTCACTCTTTATCTTAGGATCTTCACTAGTTTTTGATAATTGAACAAGTGCATCCTTTATTTTTGGTGCTTGAAACTTTATGGCTTTTAACACTTTCAATTCTATATTCCCATCTTGTTTGAGATAGTGATTCAACTAAAAAATTATACATTTTCTTGTAAGATTTTCCATTGTTTGGTAGAAGAAGCAAACAAAGAATAAATACGTTGCAAAACTCAAAAAAAAGAAACAGCTCTAGTACATGAATTTGCCATATCACCTAGAACTAAATTCAAATTATGACAACTGCAAGGAGTATAATATGCTCTAGGATTTATATCCAACAATCTTTTTTGTATTCCTTGATTTTTACATAGTAGGAATCAACCAAGAAAGAAGGAATTGAGAATGAGAATGGAGAGAGAATGAGAAAGAGATAGACTAGAGAGGAAACAAAGAGGTTAAAAATTTGTCATCTGTAAAAGATAAAAGTAAGTAGTAGTGACTGTTGGATGTTGAGTGACTTTTCATTTACAAAAACTAATAAATGGGTTGTGTTCTTTTAAGTAATTTTCATAATAAGAAAATAAGATATATAAAAAAATATAAGATACGTGTCTTATAAAATATTGGGCCTCATCTCAAATATTATTAATTTTTTTAAAATTAATTTATATCAATAATATTATTATTACTAAAAAAATTTGGAGGCCTTATAAGTTTAGGGGCTCTAGGAATTAGCCTTAATTACCTTATTGAATGTCCAGCCCTGCTAAAAAGGGTTATATCAACCTTACCTCTCATAAAATCATTATTAGTAAGAAAGTTACTTAGCCTTTCATACCAAACTCTAGGATCTTGTTTCAGATCGTAAAAAATCTTTTTGAGTTTAAAAACATGATACGAAATATCCATCAACTTCAACATTGACTAATTTATGTTATGGAACTTGACTAGTTACTGTACTAACTTGTTTAAGAGAAATCAGTCTAGTACGACTCAAATTAATAACTTGTTGATATGAGTCCTTTTATATAAATATTTATAACAAAAATATATACATGATATAATTTAAAATGATATATTTTATTACATTAAACAAATAACATAATGTTATCAAATTCTTTTAAAAAAAATGTATATATTTTTATTCAATTTACTCCTGTATAATAATTTGTTATAAAGTGTTTTATAAATAACTATAAAGATCAAAAGTGATGTATCTCCATATTAGAAGAAATAAAATACGATAAAAAAAGTTTAAGGACTAAAAACAAATTTAAAAAAATTCTTTAAAGACCAAAACCGTATTTTACTCCTTTTATGAATATAATTTAGAAAAAAAATAATAAAACTTTACGATCATATTACAATTTTATATTTAGATATAAAAAATATATTAGGGATGATTTTAATTTAAAAATAATATAAAATATATAAAAAAATCTCACAATTACATAATTTTAAAAAAAAAAAATTGGGTCCATCTTAGTCATGAACTCAAGACAATCACATCTCTAAATAAGTGTGGAACTAACCCTAATTAGTATTAGATAATAATTTAGTAATGATGTTTTTGAGACATAGGTTATTGTGTAAAACTAATATTTGTTTTAAGTTCTACTAAAAATATTTTTATTGATATAGTTAACTTAGACAATTATGATATGGGGAAAAAAATTTCTTGTTATGATTATAATTATCTTTTTTGTAAATTGTTATAGTCATAGTTATGAATTAATGGAAAAAGAATCAATGTCTCTTTCTATACCAATATTTTACATCTAAATAAATTTTTCTATAAATTTTTATTAAAATATACAAAATGTATTATATCCTAAATTTTGAACAAAGTATTATATTCTTGTATCTGGGTTATATTGTACATGTGTCATACTAAGCATATGAACTTAATATATCATAAATTAATTAAGATTATTAAAATAAATTAATCTGAACATTTTTTTTTCTAAATACATCTAAAATACTTGTTCCATACTCTTTATTGTATATATTCAAATTTGTTTTCTACCTTCATGATTATCTCTATGCATCAAAACTTATTTTGTGTCCAAATACATTTCCTTCTATAAATGGGTAGGTATATCCAATAAGTTGCACCTTCTATAAATGGATAGGCATCCAACAAAATGTGCTGCTGTATTGCCTCAAGCCCATAAAACCAAATTTAAAATACAAGCAAAGGCAACTCAGAATCAAACTAGGCTAGTTAAATTTGAAAGAAAAAATATGGAAAAAACAAAAAAAACAAAAAAACAAAATCTGACGTTGGTGGACCAAAAGAAATGAAGTATAAATGAATATAAGGAGCAGAAGGGTAGCTTAAGGTATTGGTGGGAAATCCAAATGCTTTAGATATTTTGGACAAACAAGGATAGCTTAAAGCATGGGCCAATAGGGCTTATTATTATGTCCAAGGTCTCATTTTTATAAGGGGGAAATTTTTATTTTATATATATTAAAAATTATTTCAGATTTTATGTTGAGAATGAAAATTTCAAAATATAGAAATTAAGACAGTTTAAAAAAATATTTTTTATACAAAAAATAAAGTACTTAAATGATTTCTATAATTTCATTAATTATTCCTATAATATAAATTCAATAGAAAGCAATTTTAAAATTAAAATTGATAAAATTTTATTTGCACTCAAATATGTCTAAAAATGGAACTGCAAGAAATTAGTACAATGATTGTACGTAAAAGATCTCAAGTTCAAAGTTCAAACTGCTTGTCTCTTTTGGAGTGAAGTAAATATAAGTACTTTTGTGACAATTTTTTAAACATGAATATCTTTTCAGTCTTGAAATGGGGCGTCATCCCCTCTTCCTATATTTAAAATTGTAATATATATATATATATATATAGATAGAGGTGTTATAATTACATTGGTATAATTTTTATTAAGTATTACACCACTCAATAACTTTATATTAATAATGAATTTTGTAAATCCAACCGTTAGATTGAAAGTTCATATCACTTTATACGTGTATATCAAATTTTGTTAAAATTAAACAACAACTTGTAGGTAATCAAAGTATTCATATTTTAGTGTATTTTGAAATGAATATATTACGTCAATTTTATTTTATAAAAATAAAGTATCAAATCATCTTGGATTAATATATATTTTGTATATATAATTTAAGAGATATAAACTTTCAATCTAGCGGTTAGATTTACAAAATTCGCATCGAATATAAAATTATTGAGCAGTGTAATACTTAGTAAAAATTACACAGGTGTAATTATAACCTCTCTCATAATAAATTCCTCTCACTTGATATGCCTCCTTATATATATATATATATATTAGTTATTCTGTCAATCGAAAGAGATTCAACTTCTTAATTTTTGATTATAGTCAAAAAAAAATATTAAATCATTTTTAAAATATATATTTTACATAATTAAAATACTCTAATGTTATTTAAGCAAGCATAAGTCCTGAGAAATGAGTTACTCATTTTCTACTAAATAACTGATTTATTTAGAATTACAATACTCTCTAACATAGATAATAAACAAATAAATAATAATACTTTTATTTTTAACTATGTTATTGGTATGAGATATTCATCAACTTCGTCAATAATTAATCTCTGTTAAGAAATATGATTGGTTACCTTTTTAGTAAAATCTTCCGTTTTAACCATGTTTGTTTCATACACAGGATTCAAATCCAATATCTTACTTAAAGGACCGTCTAATACCATTCAAACTAACTATAATATATTTCTCTTAATTTCTTTTTTTAAAATTTAAAAAAAAACTGCATAATTATAGGAGGTCACTAAATAAGATATAGGAACCGCAAACAAGCACTCTCAAGTTCAATTCTGCAAAACAAGCCCAGCTCACTGTCCCACAATTCAAGACTTGGGATACATACGGATAATTTGTGGGAAAGTAAAGAAGCTAATAAAAATAAAATGATAAGGACACTAACACTAACACCCTTATGAGTTTGATGTTTCTATGTCTATAGACTAACATCATTTGCCAGTTATGAAATTTCCCATGAAGCTTACAAATAAACTTGGTGCTGAAGAGTTCAAGCCTCTAGCATATGCTGTGTCATGGAATAAGATCAACTAAGACTGAGTTCATTACAATTTACAAGGGGACTTTGAAACAAGCTACATCTTAGACATTCTCTGACAAAGGTCGATCCAAAGATTTGGCATTATCAGGTTCAGGGGATGCCTCTAATTTGCGTTTCTTTACAGGATATAACAGATAATGTTGACACATGAAGAGGATGTCAAAGAACTTCTTAATTTTTGATTATAGTCAAAAAAAAATATTAAATCATTTTTAAAATATATATTTTACATAATTAAAATACTCTAATGTTATTTAAGCAAGCATAAGTCCTGAGAAATGAGTTACTCATTTTCTACTAAATAACTGATTTATTTAGAATTACAATACTCTCTAACATAGATAATAAACAAATAAATAATAATACTTTTATTTTTAACTATGTTATTGGTATGAGATATTCATCAACTTCGTCAATAATTAATCTCTGTTAAGAAATATGATTGGTTACCTTTTTAGTAAAATCTTCCGTTTTAACCATGTTTGTTTCATACACAGGATTCAAATCCAATATCTTACTTAAAGGACCGTCTAATACCATTCAAACTAACTATAATATATTTCTCTTAATTTCTTTTTTTAAAATTTAAAAAAAAACTGCATAATTATAGGAGGTCACTAAATAAGATATAGGAACCGCAAACAAGCACTCTCAAGTTCAATTCTGCAAAACAAGCCCAGCTCACTGTCCCACAATTCAAGACTTGGGATACATACGGATAATTTGTGGGAAAGTAAAGAAGCTAATAAAAATAAAATGATAAGGACACTAACACTAACACCCTTATGAGTTTGATGTTTCTATGTCTATAGACTAACATCATTTGCCAGTTATGAAATTTCCCATGAAGCTTACAAATAAACTTGGTGCTGAAGAGTTCAAGCCTCTAGCATATGCTGTGTCATGGAATAAGATCAACTAAGACTGAGTTCATTACAATTTACAAGGGGACTTTGAAACAAGCTACATCTTAGACATTCTCTGACAAAGGTCGATCCAAAGATTTGGCATTATCAGGTTCAGGGGATGCCTCTAATTTGCGTTTCTTTACAGGATATAACAGATAATGTTGACACATGAAGAGGATGTCAAAGAATACAGACACCTGCAATTAATGGTTTATTCTATCAATAAAAATGCTATATGGGTAGAAACAAATTATTGGATCACAAAAAAAATTGTAAAGGGTTAAATCTCTTGCAGAAAGAAACAATAATAGTATTCATATGGTACAATAAAAGAATGATCCATACCAGGGATAGCAATAGTTTTCCTATGTTTCCATAGAAGTTCACCCAAGAATCTGGAAATCAAAAATGGAATTTGAAAACTATGTCAATTTAAACTATAGATAGAACAAGAAGAGCCTTTGGTAAAGAAGATTACATACGTTGATCAATTGATTGCATAGACATTTGTGCATAGTTGGCTACCGAGCCAGAAAAGTCCAGTAAAATGTTAACAATGCTCCAGCCTTGTGTACTTTTTCTCATAAAGTTCATCACAGCCTATATTCATATCACAATTTTATTACTAAAGATGATTAGCATGTGTCAACAAAAAATCATTTCACTTCATGACCAAAGAATTATGAAACAATGTTCAAATGCATTAAAGCCAATTTAGTAAAAAGCCCTTCTTCTGTATATTTGCATTCCAAAATATGCTTCATTGATGATAAGACATTAAGATTAGCATAATCTTATAGGTTGCAAGTTCAAACAGATAATTTATTTCTCAGCAGTCAAATTGAATATCACAAGCATTGCTATAAACATAAGGAGATAAAATTAAGAGGAAATCATACGAATTTGAATATATCCTAACCTGGGGAATATATTTTATAATCGTCATGCAAACTTGGATGCCACTGCAAGTTGATCAGTTTCAACAAAAGTCAGAAACAACATGATGCATTATATGTAACAATGGCATGGGGAAAAACTTGGTCTTATGATGCTCTAAAGAAAATTTGCTATTAATCCACAATAGGAAGTTAAATCAATGCTAATTGATCATGCAACAAATGAAAACAGGAAACATACGAGAAGACTGAGATTAGCCAGAGCCAATGATGATTGTGTAATGCTACAAAGAAACACACTGCAGCTGTGGTCCACGTAACAAGGAGGATTCCATAAGCGATTTTAGAGACTTTTTGACTTCCCCGCTACATGAAAACATAACCTCTTTTAGAATAATCATAAATTCATCACAAGAACAATAAGCCCAACTAGAGGGAATATAGCACTAACATCATAGATTTTGATCTGGAACAAGGAAATTGCTGTCAACAAAACAGCATGGATTGAGAAAGCAACATCATTTGCTGCCACAGGTATCATCTGAAATAAATCAAAATGCAAAATGAACTTTAGCTAATGAATTTATGCAGATATATCATATAGTTATATAAGGGAAAAAGAGAGAGATCTTTTCTAAATCAATGAACATTATTCATAATATTATTCAACAAGCATTCTAACCACTAACAACAATTTCTAAAAGCTGTAGCCTCTTAAAAGTTGTATATGCCTGAAGCTTGATAGAAAATCTACCACATACCAAGAACCAAGATACCAATTACCTTTTTTTTTTTTTACTACATGTATCCTCTTTCAGAGATAACCTTATTCTTGTTGAACTAAATATGCGTACTTCTCTTAATATAAATTCAAACATTGGTTCACCACGTTGTGAGGAATATCCCCTTTGCGGATCCAACCCCCTTCGATCACCAAAATATCAATTATAAAGATTAATTTACAAGCATATCAAGTTATCAATATATCATGACAGCAAATAGTGTATAGTGATAAACATAAATTACCCTTTTACAGCACGAGCTGATTAATCAATTTAGCTTCCATAAAGAAAGTGGAGATGTATAGCAAATGGAACAAACCTCTTTTTGACCGTATTTGTCTCTGTACTGCTTCTGAACAACAGAGCTGAAGAACAAGGTTGCATTGTAGATAAGATAGGAGGAATGTTTCGTCAAATTCAGCAGCACAAAATCAAAGTTCAGCCCCACCACGCTATACCACAGTGGAAATTAACCCAAAACATAAAATAAAATAAGGGGAAAAAAGTTATAAGATATAATAAGAATTGAAGAAAAAATTATTGAGAAAGTAATATAGATGATAAAACAAAATTATTGGCTTTTAGGCTATAGTGGTACCTTTTTCTGCGAAAGTTCAAGATGACTTGTGGGTAGAAACTGATGGACCATGAAGCAAAAGCAAACCAACCCAGAACATCATAGGAGACATGGAGTGGAACTGAATTCCAAGAAGCCATACTTTCTTTTTCTACTAAGAAACCAAGAATCTCAAAGTATATATATTAATGTGTCAGTGTGGACCCAATATGTCTTCTAATGCTGCAATGTACCAACTGTTACCGAGGAACAGGAACTTTTCCGTTTCTTTCTTGTTTTATACTTTTTATTTTTTACTTTTATGTGTTATTAAAATGGAACTGTATGGTGCCAGGATTTGTGACGAAAGGAGCATAATTATATTATGTTTCTGACTCATGTTGGAAAATATACATGCTATGTGCTATTTAGTTGTCGAAGATTGGTCATTTCTCAAATTTTAGTCAAGATGCATTCTCCGTCAACCTGCTGACTTTATTGAATTTTTAGGAATCATTTATGGTCAAGAAATTATGAATTTGCTCAAATGCAATAATGACAGGGTGGCAGAATTTTACTACCATATAACGATGTATTGTTGCATGATTTAATGAATTTAGTATACTTCCTTCATTTTTTTTCATACTTGGCACTATTTTTTTTCCATTTTCACTTTTTTAAAATTAATTACTTATTAATTTTTTTATTTTTATCTTTAATAATTAATATGTATTTATTGAACAATGTATTTATTCATTTCTAATATATCTATTTCTTCTCCAACTATCTAAAGGGTATAACAAAAAAATAAGTAATAAATATTTTTAAAAACTAAAATATTAATTATTTTTTAATTCTTGTACATAAACCTTAAATGTAAAAAAAATAAAATTGAGAGAGTATTATTTATTTATTAATGCAATTAGATTTATAGTAAATTAACCTTGTAGCGTATGAAATTTCGTGAGATTACACGCAACTTGTTTTTTATTTCGTGTACTAATTTTCTTTAATTATTCAAATAACATTGACACCTTTCGATATTACTATATTCATTATCTGCATCATGAACAGTTTATTTTGATAAGTGGTGGAATATGATTTTTAATTTTTCTCATAATAATGGTCGTCAAATAATTTGAATTAATTTTTATATTGTATGAGTTATTAAAATTAAACTTAATTTGTGATTTTTTAATAAATTTATTTTTGTCAAATGAAGTATATCTATCTAATAACAATACAATTTTTCAATTTTTTATTATATAACTAATTTAATTAATATACTTTTAATTTTATAAGAATGGTATCTTGGATCATATATAAATTTTAGAGTGAGAAGTTTTTAACATTAAATAATATAATAAACTAGTAAAATAAATATTTATTTGATACTAATGTTTATTAGATTAACATTTAATAATATTAAGCTAAATTTCACAAATAATTCTTATTTTTATCTAATAAAAGTGATAAAATTAGAGAAAAGTTTGATAAAAATGAAAATTAAAAGTGTAAATTAACTAAATATTATTAAATATTAATCATTTTTTCATCAACCCAATGATATGTCATAACGAATATTTAATAGAGAAACCAAAATTATGAATTTTATAAAAAAAAAATACAAGATTAAAATTTAGTCATTATAGTTAAATTTCTTTAATAAATTTATGAAATATTATCGCATAAAACTATTACATTAAACTCAATAGTTAGATATGTAACTTGTGACCAAAGGAACTAAAACAATTTTATTTTTAAATTTACATGAACTAAATGAATAAATTTTAAATTTAACAAATCAAAAATAAATTTACTCTAAATTTAAATAATTAAAAACATATTTAAATAAGATTAAAAGTATCGTATGTGAATGTATCATATACAATATTATTTAAATACAAGTTATAAATATTTTTTATCAATTTTTTTTACTGAATTTTTTATTTAAAAAACCCCCAAAAGAAATCTTCTAACACGCTGTTAATTTTCGACACATCGTTAATTAATGTTTAGTTTACACTTTACATTGGTTATTCAAACTCAAAAAAGGTGTCTTCCATTTCCATTTAATCATGCAATCCTTGGATGATGCGTATGGCCATTACACTTTGAAATCAAACAGCTATCTGCATTTAACGATGCATTTTCATTCAAGACGCAATCATGGTCAGGTTCGTTGCGTCAAGCCAAGGGACTCTTCATGCACATGATCCTTTGCGGTTACACAGTTATATCTCAGTATCGCTTTTCTAAAATCTTCTCTTTTCATCAGCTCAGTATCCATACCATATGAGCATTAAAAGAGCTGAGACTTTAAAACTGAACTCATTTATGGAATATGAGATCAATGGTATGTTTGGATTTAAGTGATTTTGAGTAAATATTTATATGTTTAACTTTTAGTTGAATTGATTCTGGCCCGTATAATTCATGTTGAGAAGTAACTTGGGTAATTCCTGCACTAGACGAAAATTGTATACCAACTTTTATTATTAATTTGTTTTTAAAGTAAAATGTCCAAACATAAATTAAATCATTTCAAAATTACATAACCAAAATTAATTTTGCACATCAAATTTATCGCACTAAATTTTTTTTATATACGAGATCTAAACTTAAAACTTTAGTTTAAAAACAATTAAGTATATATTACCTAAATTTATTTTTATACCCTCCTGACTTTTTGTCGAAAGGGTTTGTCAAGAGAACTTGATCAAAAAAGTTTGGTCGAGAGAGCCTAATTGAGTGTCTGATCGAGTATCCAATTAATCAATCATATTTCTATTTATAAAAATAGTTTAGTATTTGGCCTATTCAAAACCTTTTATCTAGTACAAAAATCTAGTTATTAATGATCATGATTAAATAATAAAATATGTCATTCATTATCAGGAAAACTCCCACAAGATCCTTGAAATTCCTGGGCCAATGAAGGCCGAGGAACAAGTATAAAATCCATAGCTTAAGACAAAGAAAGATAGATTATACTTTTGAATGTTCTAGCTTTGGACAACTACTAGGTTATCTTTAGTACGTTTTCTAGACCAAAACATTTTGGTGTCTCATGTGGGGTGATGATAAAACCTTTCCTATGCTCAAATTAATCTTTTTTAATCAGGGTTAGGAGGAGATGGTGAGAGTGAACTAGGAAACACAGTAGAATCTCGCGATGGAAAAACTCATGGCCATGGTTAATAACTTGATAGAGGAGAATGTTCAAGCCAATAGGAGGGAAGAAGAATGAAGAAATTTAACAAAATGACAGACAAGATGTAGGCGACGATGCAAGCAAACATAAAGAGGGTGGACGAGGAGATGACAATAGAGTTTCCAAGAGATTTCCAATCATTCTTGGTGGAAAATGAGGTAGAGCCTATCCCATAAAATTATATGGTACCTAAGGTGAACCCATTTAATGGGACATAAGACCCAAGTTAACACATGATAGACTTTTATGCCCAAATGCTCGTCAATGGTGATAATGGTGGAGTCAAGTGCAAGATGTTTGTGGGAACCTTGAAGAAGGGGGCACTAGACTGGTTCAACAATTTGTCAGATTGGTCAATCACCAACTTTGATGTGTTTTCCCATTTGTTCGTAGTACAATTTGTTGTTAATAAGCGCAAGCCTCCACGATTGTTGACCTCTTCAATCTAAACTAGAAACCTAGTAAATCCCTAAAGGAATTCCTCTTAAGGTTTAATGAGGTGATGGTGAGAATAGCAACCCCAAATGAGGCTATGTCGGTTGCTTCCTTTCAAAAGAGGTTGCAATCAGGTGATTTCAGGGAATCACTTTGAAGAAGAATACCTTAGACGATTGTTGAGGTCAGGTCATGTGCCTTGTGTCACATCAAATTAGAAGAAGGACAAACCAGTAAAGGGAGTGAGGAGGAGAAGAGTTCAAGTTTTGTAGGAGCGGGGACAATGAGTCAAGACCATATTCACCCCAAGTCTAATTGGACAAAAAGACGAGATGAGGGAGATAAGAGAATGAGGTATGAAACACAAAGGGATCATTGAGATAAAGAGGAAAATGAGGTAGACATTGGACCTTTTTGAATGCTCCTAGGCGACATATTCTCAAGGATGTTGATGGACTCTTTCCTTCCATGGTGTGTTCAATGACCTCCAAGGAGGAGCTCCCTCTTTCTCCATGGACTAGGATGAGGAATGATGGCTGGATGTTTCCTCAAAGGTGATGAAAAAAATAATATTGGGTGATAAGGAGGTGAAGGTGGGCGAATAAGGAGAAGGGTAAGTGGATGGTGTTTTCGATGCTCTTGGCTAGCTCTCTCCACCAAGAGTTGGTGGAGGCCACTCAAGGGACCTAAGCTCACTCTAGGGTAGAGAGGAGAGGAGTATGGTCGTGAGGTCCAAAGTGACTAGGGAAGGCTTTTTGAGGCAAAATGCTCTCAAAATGCATATATTCCAAAGTGGTAACATGGAAGAGGGCTTAGAGTATTTATTGAGTGAAAAGAGAGCATTTGGAGTTTCTAGGGGGCTTTGGCCGAAAATTTTAGGGCCTCCCCCACCCTAAATGTAGCCCAAATGTAATGGGTCTCATCTCTCCTAAAAGACTAAAATACCCTTATGCCTAGAAAAGAAAAAAAATGGACTTTGACCTCACAAGTCAAGGTCTAAGTCCCAAAATAAATCCTAATACTAATTGTGCCTCATAATATAAAGGCTAAATAAAAATACAAAATAAAATCCTAATATCTAATGTGCCCCAAAATACAAAGGTGAAAATGGAAAACAAAGCAAATATAGATAGGTTTAAAGAGAGGGTTCAAACTCTACACACATGATGATCATGGCTTTAGGTATGGTGTGCTCTCCATCTTTCTCCACTCTCCTTGCCATAGACCTTGTGATAAGCCCTATGTGATGCTTCAAGGATGGTCCTTCATTAGATGTGAACAAAGAGGTGTCAAACTGAATCAACCTAACTCATATGAGTTGACTAACCACAAGTTGGTGCCTTAAATAGGCCAATCTAACCCAACTCACTTTCCGGTGAGCAAAAAAAATCTCAACCCAGCTCGACTCACCACAAGTTGATGGGTTGAGTGAGTTGGTTCACTAGAATTTTTAAGAATAAAAAATAAAAAGGTGAAAATGGAAAACAAAGCAAATAACTAGATAGGTTTAAGGAGAGGGTCCAAACTCCACACACATGATGATCATGGCTTTAGGTATGGTGTACTCTCTATCTTCCTCCACTCTTCTTGCCATAGA